TGTGGCTTAGCGGTTGAGTGCGTGCGCTCCGATGCTGGCGGCCCGGGGTTCGGATCCCGGGCGCGCACTGACGCACTGCTTCTCCGGCCATGCTGAGGCCCCGTCCCACATACAGCAGCTGGAAGAATGTGCAACTGTGACATACAACTGTCTACTGGGGCTTTGGGGGAAAAATAAATAAATAAAAAAATTTAAAAAAAAAAAAAAAAAAGACTGGCCCTGGGCTAATATCTGTGCCTATCTTCCTCCACTTTATATGGCATGCCGCCACAGCATGGCCTGATAAGCAGTGCGTTGGTGCGCGCTCGGGATCCGAACCCCCGGCTGCCAGCAGCGGAGCGCACGCACTTAATCACTACACCAGGGGGCCGGCCCCTAGTCTTGCTTTTCTAAATCTTAGGTGTCCTGGCAACTCAAAAGTAACAAGTCGAAAATTGAATGTATGCCTGTTTGCCCTTCCTTCCTTCCTTCCTTCCCTCCCTCCGTGAGCAAAAAGTAAACCAAACCTGGGATCCCTCTAAGTGCAGGACCCAGTATAACTCCACAGGTGGTCCTGCCGTGAAGCCAGCTTGCCAGCACCCTTTCAAAGTATGTCCTTGCAGATATTTTAGTGATTAGATAGGGAGTAACTTTACCATGGAGAAAAGATGGCAGACACCATCTTAATCAAATTATGAAAGGTAACACCACAAGTAATGAGATAAATCGACACTGTGTGCCCTTTGATGATGCAGTGAGAACACAGTCACTTCTGTGATACTCCAGTCAAAGAGGCATAACCCGGGTCTAATCACGAGGAAACACTGGACAAAGCCAAACTGAGGGACAGCCTACAAAATGGCCTGTAATCTTCAAAAAAGTCAAGGCCATGAAGTAAAGGAAATTGAGGAACTTCCCTAACTACCTTGAGGGAGATTTGAAAGACATGACAGTTGGGTGCAATGCGTGATCCCGTGTTGGATCTTTTTGCTATAAAGGGTATTATCGAGACGACAGGTACAAGTTGAATGACTCTCTGGGCAAAGAGAATATGATAGTTGTTTTGTACTACTCTTTCAGTATAACTTTTCTCTAAGTTTGAAATTATTTCAAAATAAAAAGAAAATTTACCATTACAAACCTCCCTCCAAATTAGCTTTTCCTCTAGGTTTCTGTTAATAGCAGCAACATTCTCCCAGTTGCCAAGTTCAAAAACTTTGGGATCATCTTTGATTCCTCTCTCTTCCCTCCCACGCCTTTCCCCACCACCCTACCACTCACAAAGTCCTGTCAATTATTTTTTTTTTAAATATCTCTCACATAGCCACCGTTTAAGTTAACTTCCACTTTGTTGGGTTTTTTTTTTTCCTTTTTTAATGATACTTCCTACCTCACATAATTGTTTTAGGAGTGTCTGTGAAAAGAATTTCTATGACATAAAATACTGTATAAACACAAGGTCCTATTACTCCATCTCGAGTCTGGATTACTGCTGTTTACTGCTGTAATCTCCTAACTGGTCTTCCTGTCTTTAGTTGCTCCCTGCAACCACCCATCCTGTATACAGTTACCAGAGTAATCTGCCTAAAAGCACACACTTATCCTTTCGGGGCCTGGCTTCCCACGGTCCACAGCAGGGCTTAATCCATATTCCCTGGGAAGTCGGATGTTCTATGAGCTGAATCAAGGTGGTCTGCCCTCATATCAAATAACCATGACCTTTTCCCAACTCATAGAGAAAAGAAAATTTAATGGATAGAATTTCCTCAACTTGTATGGTTTTTTCCTCTATGCTTATTTTTCCACAGTAGTAAGGATCCAAACTTTTATCTGCTAGATTAGCAAATGACAAACTGAGCAAGCAGCAAATAAATAATCAAGATTTGGCAACAGCAGATCATATTTACTTGAACAGCTTGCTTTTCTCACGGGCACATGTGCCGGTAGTTGCAATTTTTATAACGCATGTCAATTGTATAGTCATTTTCTTTCTTAAAAATTGTTTCTCTTTTGGATGATAGAATGAAATATATAAAAATTTTATCATGAGCAAGTTAGAGAAAACACTGCACTCCCCAATAAATACCTTGGCCTCATATTCAGGGTTTTTCCACTCTTATCGCTCCTACTCCCCTTCATGAATCCTTGCCTTCAGACAAAGTTGTCTAATCTCTGTTCACTTTTTTTTTTTTTGCTTTTCATAAACCATTCCATCTCCCTGGTACTCTGTCCTGGCTCACAACTGTCCATACAAACTCCATCCAGCCTTAAAGGACCAGATCAACTCTCTACTTGGTGAAAACTTCTAAAATCATGATGATCACTCCTTGTAACTCACTAGATTATCATAGAAAGTGAATGGGAAAGAACAGAAGGTTCTTCAAACATCAGAGGACATAAGAAACACCTGGGAATCTTTTTAAAATGCAGGGATTTTTTTTTGTTTGGTTGTTTTTTTTTGTTCTAGTCTCTTAGCAAATTTCAGTTATACAGTACAGTGTTATCAACTATAGTCACTATGTTTTGTAAGTTAGATCCTCAGACCTTTTTCATCTTATAACTGAAAATTTGTACCCTCTTACCAATGTCTCCCCATCTCCCCTACCCCCCAGCCCCTGGCAACCACTTTTCTACTCTTTGTTTCTGTTTGACTTTTTTTTTTTTTTAGATTCCACACATAAGTGACACCATGCAGTATTTGTTTCTTTCTTTGTCTTATTTCACCTAGCATAATGCCCCCAAGGTCCATCCATGTGGTCGCAAATGTCAAGATTTCCCTCTTTCTCATGGTTGAATAATATTCCATGTATATATATATATATGCCACATCTTCTTTATCCATTCATCTGTTGATGAGCACTTTGTTTCCTTATCTTGGCCATTGTGAATAATGCTGCAATGAACATGGGAGTGCAGATATCTCTTGGATATCCTGTTTCATGTGGATATCCCGTTTCTTGTTTCATCCATACTCCTTTGCATAAATACCCAGATTGCTGGATCATATGGTAGTTCTATTTTTATTTATTTATTTTTT